TGAACCGGATTGAGAACCTGTCTTCCCATTTGGCATGCTTTCCTTTGATTGATCCCCACCTTTCACCTATTTTACATATACCTACCCTTTCCTAATTGGTTTTCTACACTGTCATGCCCACCTTTGAGCACTGCCTTTGTTTTGACATTTTTTGCAAACTCACAAACCAGTCAGCACACATTCCCTATTCTGAGCCCATAAAAGTCCCGGACCCAGCTACACTGAGAGAGAAATCACTTAACCATGGAGGTGGGGGACCACCCCCATGTCCCCTCTCTGCTGAGAGCTATTCCATCACTCAATAAAATTCTAATCCACCCTCCTCCCCTTCAAACTGTCAGTATATCTTTATTCTTCTTGGACATGGGACAAGAGTTCAGGAACTGCCAAACATGGGTATAAGCTATAACACAGGCGGGCTGAGTGGGCAGGGCACCTCCAGTGGCAGGCCCAGGCTGAATGAGGCCTGGGCAGCAGCAGGGCATCTCTGGCCATGGAGGTCCCTGGTTGGCAAAGTGGCTGAGAAAAATCCTGCATCAGATGAACCCTGATAACTTTATGCTAACTGAAAGAAGCCAGACACAGAAGGCTGCGTGGTACATGATTCCACTTATATGAACTATCCCAAATAGGCAAATCCATGGAGACAGAATTAGATGAGTGGGTGCCAGGGGCTGGGTGCACTGACTGCTTAATGCATATGGGGTTTCCTTTCAGGTGATGACAATATTCTGTAAGTAGATAGTGGTAGTGATTGTACAACATTGTGAATGTACTAAATCCCACTGAATTATACACTTTGAAATGGCAAGAATGATAAATATTATGGGTATTTTACCTCAGTTTAAAACCGTGAACTGGAAAATAGAAAATGATAGTTGTACTTCTTAGTTGCTTTTTATTTATTTATTTATTTTTGAGACGGAGTCTCGCTCTGTTGCCCAGGCTGGAGTGCAGTGGCCGAATCTCAGCTCACTGCAAGCTCCGCCTCCCGGGTTTACACCATTCTCCTGCCTCAGCCTCCTGAGTAGCTGGGACCACAGGCGCCGGCCACCTCGCCCGGCTAGTTTTTTGTATTTTTTAGTAGAGACGAGGTTTCACCGTGATAGCCAGGATGGTCTCGATCTCCTAACCTCGTGATCCGCCCGTCTCAGCCTCCCAAAGTGCTGGGATTACAGGCTTGAGCCACCGCGCCCGGCCATTAGTTGCTTTTTAAACAAAATACATAAGCATAACTCTGTCATGCTTAATAAAATGCAGAGATCTAACGTACAACATAAGGACTATAGCTAATAATACTGTATTGTATTTGGGATTTTTGCTAAAAGAGTAAATTTTAGGTGCTCTTGCCATAACTATGTGAGATGTTAATATGTTAATTGCCTAGTCATTTTACTTTGTATATGCGTATCAAAACATGTACACCTTAAATATATACAATTAAAACTAAATTAAATTTAAAAAATAAGGAGTTTGTAAACCTTACATTCATTGTACAGGAACAAAAAGGGTGAAACACGTATTACATAAGAATTGCAAGCCATTCTACAGGAAAAAAAGGTTGAAGCAAATGTGTTTAAGAAATAGAATTATGATGTACACGGATATAAAACATAGATGCATAATACTGAAAATGCTAACATGTTACCTCCTGATAAAAAGAGAGGGTGAAATGTGGCCACTATTGCCCAATTTGGCTGCAGTTGGACCAGAAATGTCTCTGGACTGCTGGTGCTGGCTGTTACCCAGGGGGCAGGGCACGCCTGGCGTGTGAGGTCTGTGGCTATGTTTGAGGAATCTTTTGCTGCTTTCTTTAGGGCATAAAAGCAACTGGCACATTCATGGCAGCTCATGGAGCCATTCCCTTCAGGCAGCTGCTCCCCTTTCACAGCCATGTGTGACCCACATAGCAGCCTTGGCATTCATCTGGACAGTGGTGTGGAAAATGATTTCATCCTACTGTCTTGCCTGGCCTTTAACAGTTGGAGTGCTTCCACCCTAGACTTAAGAATACATATACCCAACTTTTAGAAAATGAATGCTAGGAGAAGTTCCCAGATGGCTTTCAAGGCACTGGTGCTGCCAGATGTGGCTTTTTTGATGAAAGTTCTGCTCCCAGCCTAGTTCCTGCATCACTGCCCAGTGCGACCTGTGTCTATTCCTGCCCCTCACACCTCTGCTCCTCCCATCTCCCACTTGCTTCTCTTCCTGCACATTGAAATGCTTCCCGTACTGCCAAGCCCAACTCAAGCCCTACTGTACTTAGAATTTCTACCACACCATTTTTGCATTTTATTGTTTTTGTGCCTGGGAATTTTACCTCTTCCAACCAACTGGCAAGTTTTTTGGTGGTCAGAGCTTTTTCCTTGCAATTTTGGGGTGTCCCACAGTGGTATATAGATAGCCTTTACTGCCTTCCTGATACCCTCTATTGTAATTGCACCCTGATTTTCCTTTGCTGGGTCTTCCTGTCACCACGATTGGATCAGAGCCAGACATGAGACTTAAGCCCTACCAAATGAGAATCATTGGTCCTGGGCTTTCACTGCAGCTCCTGGTAAGAGATCCCCTTTCTCTAGGAGTTGCTAAACTAATAGGAGCAGCTGGGGACCATCGTTGCCAATTTTTGTGATGCTTGTCTGAGAAGAAAGCCACACAGAGTGTGGAGACCGAGCAAAGTCCTGATACCATGGTTTGAGGCTCTCAGGCATGAGAGCCACAACTTCCCATCTTGTTGGTGGCTGGTTGCTTCCAATTGAAGGACTACCAGTATACCTCCCGGCATTTGCAATCTGCACAGAATAGGCAAAGAATATTTGCTGATTGTTTGCAGGTATATCTAGAGTGGTAAAGTGAAATATTTATATTTTGCATTTACTGGAAGTTTTTACAGGCACAATGGCTCATGCCTGTAATCCCAGCACTTTGGGAGGCCAAGGCGGACGGATCCTCTGAGGTCGGGAGTTTGAGACCAGCCTGACCAACATGGAGAAACCCCCTCTCTACTAAAAATACAAAATTAGCTGGGCTTGGTGGCGGGTGCCTATAATCCCAGCTACTCGGGACTGAGGCAGGAGAATCTCTTGAACTCGGGAGGCGGAGGTTGTGGTGAGCTGAGATCACGCATTGCACTCCAGTAGGGGCAACAAGAGCGAAACTCCATCTCAAAAAAAAGTTTTTAGGCCAGGTGCGGTGGCTCACGCCTGTAATCCCAGCACTTTGGGAGGCCAAAGCGGGCGGATCACGAGGTCAGGAGATCAAGACCAACCAGCTGACATGGTGAAACTCCGTCTCTACTAAAAATACAAAAAATTAGCCAGGCATGGTGGCGGGTGCCTATAGTCCCAGCTACTCGGGAGGCTGAGGCAGGAGAATGGTGTGAGCTTGCAGTGAGCTGAGATCATGGCACTGCACTCCAGCCTGGGTGACAGAGCGAGACTCCGTCTCAAAAAAAAAAAAAGTTTTTGTTGTGGTAAAATCTATATGCCTTATCATTTTAACCATTTTTAAGTGTACAACTCAGTGGCATCAAGTATATTCACTGTGCACCATCACCACTGCCCATTTCCAGGACTTTTTCATCACCCCAAACTGAAACTGCGTACCCATTACACACCATTCCCCATTCCCTCCTCAAACCTTGTAACCACCGTTTTACTTTCTCTCTTTGAATATGACTACTCTTGATATATAAACAAGATACATGGAACCATACAATAATTGCCATTTTGTGATCGGCTTATTTCACTTAGAATAATGTCCTCAAGGTTCATCCATGTTGTAATATGTCAGAATTTACTTTTTTTTAGGACTGAATAGTATCCCTTTATATGCATATACCACATTTTGTTGATCCATCCATCCGTCAATGGACAACTGAAGTGTTTCCACCTTTTGGCTATTATGAATAATGCTGCTCTATTGGTTTTTATTTTTTGAAAATATTTCAGTTTAAGGATGAAGCTGTGGTAATGCTAGGATAGCCTATTACATTAGCTCATCTAGATAAGAAGAAAACTGTTGGGTTAATGAAGTGTTCAATGAAATATTAAAGCCAGAAGCTTCAGCCTGAAATCATTCTTTTTGGGCTCTTCAGTAGCATCACTTCTTTGTAGGCTTCTACTCCACCAAACACTGAGAGGCGGGCGACATCTCAGGATCAGAGGTGGAAAGGCCTCTCCTGGCGTTACTGGCCACTCCCTCTCTCCTAACGAGCAGAGCCGGGAGAGAGGCCGGGCACACTCGGACTTGTAGGTAACCAGTTCCCTCACATCCCTGCCCACACCACAGTTTTGGCTTTTCAACAATAAAGCCGTCTCTCCATCCTAGGACTCTCTTACAGAGAACAGTAAAACTGCAACATGATCAGGTACCCAAAGCGTGCATTCCCCGCAAGATAGATCAGCAGCTGTTGTCTCTTTCCATGATCTCTCTCCCTCATTCCTGTAGCCACGGAAAACTTTTCATCGGAGTCCTTAGGAAGAGATGGAGGGTGTGTGAAATGAGAGCCCGAGACACGCTGCCATCTCGGAAGGGCTTTATTTCTACTTCATCACGGTCTCATACAGACTCAGAGGCACCAGCACGTGTTTCCATTTGGTATCCTCGTGCCTTTTTGTCGTGTTTTCCCTTAAGAAAACTTCGAGTAAACTCTGTACACTGCCAGTTAATCTTTTCACAATAATTTAAAAATGTTGCTGTTGGATCATCGATGCAAGAAGACCAACAATAAAAGTACAGTACAAGGAAATTCACAACATATTACAGTTGAACAGACTGAGTCACATTTAGGTGATGGCGAGGACACAGTAGCGGTATATACATGCACCCGAAGACGTGCAAGCCAAGTAGGATAATACAAGGATCATACAGTGAAGTTTCTAAGCCCACTGAGGGCTTTGTACCTCTTCAAAAACGTCCTGTATCCCCTCCAGTATACAGAATATCTGTCTTGTCTACTGGTCCTGTATCCCCTCCAGTATACAGAATATCTGTCTTGTCTACTGGCTTCATGGCTTTTTCGCTACAAAAAGTTCACTGAATCAGACAGTCTGAAGCATTAAAAAAGTCTTAAAAAACAGTAACACTGACAAAATAAAATTAACTTAATCCACTCTAATTCAACATGGAAATAAACTGAACCAAAATGTAACAGGGCAAATTTAACAGAGAGGCAGTCAGGTATTGACAGCAAGGGTGTTCAGAATCTCTTAAAATGTACATTTTTTAAAACTTTTATTTTTTAAATCTATTTATACCTTATTTACCTTTTCATTTAATATACTGTGTGTAAAAAAGATGGAGACAAAAATAGTTTTCTGAGCTATGAAAAAAATTAAGTTATTACAGGCACATTTACTGTTTCATTCTAGAAACATCTCAGTTTCACAGGTTGAACATTCAGCAGCTGTGTGTTTTTAAAAAACATTCTTTGACCTTGAGAAAACTAGATCTCTCCTTTTGGGCAGAGTTTTGTTCATGGCGATGGTGTGGTTATGCAAATTACAGTGAATTATACTGTGATAATCCATGCAAGCTTGCATCACGGTGTGGCTGCTCCTCGGGCGGCTCCTCGCCACCATGCTCCTCCAAGGACGTCGGGTCTCCGGGTGACTGAGGCTGTGAGGCAGTGGGGGAATGTGGGGCCCACCGGGACGGAGGGCGACGGTTTGCTGGTCTCTCGGGCCTGGAGAAGCAGGGCTCTAGGGATGGAGCTAGTGCAGAACAAGGTAGTTCCTTCAGAGCCGAGAAAGGGAGACAGGGTTACTCAGACCGGCAGTGTCACCAGCGGATGATTCCCCCAAACACACTTCTCAACAGACTCAAGTGAGATGAAGTACACACCACAGGCAACTCGTGAATATTAACGACGTTCTATGCTCATGCAGAATAACTTAAAATAATAAAGAATTCAACACATGTGACATGATCAGTGACATGAATGGGAAGAGACCAATTATGATTAAACACAGCAATGTTGTGAGATGAGTCAGCTTGCAAAGCTCCTTTAGAATTGGGCTGGGGTATACAGAAGACATGGCAGAGTGACTGTGGCAGCGGTCTCCACAGGCCACTTCAGCAGATTGCCATCTGCTAGATCTCTTCCTTTGGTCCTTTAGAATGATCTATTTAGCGACAGTGGACAAATGAACTGGTCCTATAGGGCCTGGATCTACTGGGAGCCCACAAAGAGACCTCTGATTTCATTCAGCTGTGTTAGCAACGGCAGTCGTCTTAAACGAACTCTGCTACTGTTTATTTGAAATTGACTGGCAGTAGATTAAACAAACTCCCACAACATGGCAAAGATGCTGCAGGCAGAAATTTTAATTTGGGTCTAGTTTTCTTTAATGACTCTTCAATTACAGCAGCATTTTAAAAAAGTAGAATCAGAATGTACTGGTAGTTTTGTTTCAGGCATCCTAATGTTCTGAGAACAGGTGACGCAAGACACATTCAACCATGTGCAAATCACCTAGAATCCTTATTCTCAAGCTACTTTGCTTTTAAAGAATGTTGAGTTCCTTGTCCTTACTCTACATGTTACAAAACCAGGACACCCAAACTTGGAATTTGCTGATACACAGAAATGTAAAAAGCTGTGGCATGAGGAAACTGAGCTGCCCAGCGTGAAGCCCGCTGGCTGGAATGACAAGACACTGGATGCTGAGGTGAACTGAATGGAAGGCACAGGAAGGATGACAGAGAACAAGGACTCTCAAAGAAAGGAAGTGAGCTGGAGGATGTAAAAAGATGTGACAAGCAACTGAAAAGCCCAGGATGAGGACAGCCCAGCCAGTGGTGCAGGGGAGCAGCAGTGGGGGGACAGATGGCTGCATGGAATGGGCAGTGTCACTCGGGAGAAGATGGAACATGGCAGAGACAGCATGGCCCGAGGAAAGCGTGGGAGCCACAGGCTTCCAGAAGAGCAGTGGGGCGAGTGGTTTCCCTGCCTCCCTCTGGGGTCAGCAGACAAGGCACAGTGGCCCTGGAGACTCTGCTTCATGCTCCTTGCTGCTTTTGTGGCTGGCACTTCACACAGCCACAGGGAGAAGGTGCTGTTCCCAAAGCATTATGCTAACAGTACCGTGACAACCAGAAACACCTCTCCAGTTAAAACTCCACCAGCCACCAAGATGCAGACTAACTCAAGGTGCTCCTGTGTCATCTCACCACAGCCCACAGTGCTTGGCTGGGACACACGGTTTGGGAAATCTGTATCTGTTTTGTGTCTGTGCTCCCCTTGTTGTAAGAGTAGTGTGTGTGTTGTGTATTGTATATCTGTTCTGTGTGTGTTGTGTGTCGGTGAAGCTGCTGTCATAGGTTTATGTGACACCACTGTATCCCGTTCCTCCTGGCTGGTTCTGAAGAGCAGGCTTTGTATGAGACCATTCAGTACCCCCTTTGCCAGCCTCTGCTTGTGAAGGAAGAAACGTTGTGAGTCTGCATTCAAGGGAATGAACCTTTTCCTTAGTAACACGCCAGCGTGTACAAGCAAATGATGCTGTGCTTTCCTGAGAAGCCACTGTGGTCGCTGCATGACATCTTGTCCTGGGATGCCGCCCCTGTAGCACGTTTCTGGGAAATGGCCCTCCCCCTGTGTTCCTTGTCATTTTTTTCACGGGGACACGTCTGTTGTATTTGACAACAGATACTTTTGTACTTAACACTTCGAGTTAAGGCCAGTGGATGAGGTGAGTGGATGACTATATCCTTGATCAAACACAAAGTATATCTTTTCTCATGTGCTTTGACTCAGACTCTGAAAGCAATTCTGAGAGACGTTCTCAAGATATCTGGAGTGGGGATGGCTTTGTTCTTTATTCATTCAACAAATATCTATTGAGCATCTACTCTGTCACCTACGGTGCTCACTTGGAAGGACAAGATATATTTGGGTTTATTCCTTGTGGTATGATTGTTGAAAAATGAAAAAAAAGCCTTATCGCATTAGGGTCCCACCTCATTTCAGCACATGCCAGTGCACATATGTAAGCAAAATGTTGGTAACCAGTCCTGGGTGGCTGGGCCCAAAGACCCCCTCAGGCATGACCCCTGTGCCTAGGATGTCCTCTCCTGGCCAGTATCTACTCAATTCTCTGAAAGCAAATTGGCTGCAAATGTACAAAAGTACAGAAATCTCAGCAGAATCTCTATAACCTAAAAACCCTTCTTTGCACTGAGTGGTCAACCCTCTCACAGGGCAGATGAGTCTCTGGCCCTGTCAATCTGTTGCTGGGTTTAGGGGAGCCTCCTGGAACCCGGGGTGAGCGAGGGTGCCGCCACCGGGCAGAACTCCCTCAGGCGATGAGTGTCGGGTGCCAACTGCGAGTTACACAACACGAGCTCTCCAGACAGCGGGGAAACAAGGAAGAAAGCACTTACAGCGTGAGGCAGGCAGGGCTATAGTCCCCAGGGGGCAGTTAGTAAGACAGTTTGGTTCTGGACAGAACAGACAGAGAAAGAAGAGAAAAGCAAGAAGGTTGGAAAGTGTTTTTTAAACAGGAGAACAATAAAGGTTTCAAGTCAGCAAGCCCGGAGGTAGAGGGCCGTCCCTCTCACTCAGGGACAGCCACCAGGAGAGACTTGCGGGCTCTCAGATCTAGCACATTCACTCCAAGGCAGGTGTGGGGAAGCGGCCGGGCGCTGGGCAGACAGGCCTGCCCTCTGCCATCTGCCCAGAGAGATGGAAACTCCAGGGAGGAGCCACAGACCTCCCTCTAGTTTCTATGCCGAGCCACCCTTTAGCATTTAACATTTCCAACAGCATTCTGGCAAACGGAGGTATGGAAATTGCATGACTGTTATCTAAAACAGAGACCTTTATTCGGCTGCGTTTGTTTTGGTCACAACCACCAAGCTACTGCCACTTACTCTAAAAAGTTCCCCTCATATTTTCCACTTAGGGGAGGGAGGAATAGCATTCCATTTTCAGATTGTTCCTTCTCTTCACACTAGAACTCCTCCTCACGGCTTCTCTCTGCACTGCTGAACTAGTGCCATGGTGTCGCGAGAAAAAGAGGCCTGAGTGGTTTCCGGGAGAAGAGTGCAGTGAGAAAGGGAGATTGCCTGTCACCTGCGTCACTCCTGGGTCTGGATGCCTGAGTGAACATTCAGGGAGAGATTCCGCAGCAGGGCACGGGGTGGGCTTGGAATCAGAAGCAGTCCTGGGGATTTGGGAATGCATACCTAGAACTACTGCATAATTTAAGGAGCAATGGAAAGGGGTTGCAGTGGCCCTAATATATTACATCAATTCAGGAATAATCCCACTGGAATCCAGAACAAGCAAAATTCCAACAGAAATGGAAAAAAGAGCCCGTGGCATTGAGATGCTGCCGATGAGTGCTCCGTGCCCGCTCTGAGTCCCTGCAACTGCGCTCCCTTCACGTCATCTCTTTTGGTGGCAAACACACCAAGTGAAGAGAAAATCTAAACGAATACTTTACGGAGGAGAAAAGGGGTTGGGCCACTTTGTACTGATAAAACCATTTTCATGCCATGATGCTGGGATCCCATCGTGAACCTATTTTTGCTTGCAGGATTCACTATTAGTAATTCAAAGCATTTTTTGGTTCCTAAAAAACAATTTCTATTTGGTGTGTAATATAAATAGACAACACAGGCACAGGCGATTAATGCTTTGTGACATAGCCTCACTGTCAACTGAAATTAGAGCCCTCGGGAGCCCTAAGAAGGCAGGGCATTCCCATATAAACAGACCCTTCCGCGGCAGCAGTACTTACCTGAGGACCCCAGAAGGATGGGGTGACAGTAGCCCAAAGGAGACACCATTTGTCACCTGAGAACATTCAACCAGCAGTTTGTCCTCAGAGCATGCAAACAACTTTATCACAAAGACTCAGATCTTGGAACATGTAGGCCATGTAGCATCAATATTTATATTAGGTGTGAACCATGCGGAATTGCTATTTCTCTAAGTCATTGGCAGTTCCACAGGTTTGACCTATTCAGATTTGCAGCCTGCATTCTGAGTTAAACATTCACTGGTGGGCCGGACTGGGAAGCCAGCCATCATTTACCCTCTTGTGGGAAATGTGGGCCGGGTGAAACAGGCAATACACCTTCTTCCTCTCCCTGCCCATGAAGCCGGGGCTGCTCGGGTCCTGGCGAGAAAGCAGCGGGCAGCCCAGGAGCATGCTGCCGTCCTCCTCCTCCTCCGACCCCTACCATCTGCGGGAACAGCCTGGCTGGGAGAGTGCCCATGGGGCCAGGGGTTCCCAGCGTGGAGCCTGTCCATCCAGACTCCAGGCGAGTTGGACTCACTCCCCAGACAGACACGTCCTCTCTGTGCTGCACAAACCACAAAGTGGCATCCCCATAGCCGTCACCCCCAGCACATCATCAGGCTTTCATTTTGCTGTTTGTACAAAAACACTACATGTGGATACGTATCAGAACCCAGTTCACAGTGGACTGATTTGTGAGTAGTATCAAGGGCAATAATGATAATCATATTGTATTAGGGCAGGATTTTGATTTTGTCTATTTGTTTCACTTGGTTTTACTGCTAGGGGGGCTCATGGCCACAAAGAAGGTAAGTGATTTGTGAGCTGCCACATGGCTGTTTTGTAAGGAAGCCAGCCCAGGAATCGAGATCTTATGGCTCCTGATGAGATGTGCTCGTGCCCACGCTGTCCAGACCCTCTGCAGCTCACCTCATGCTGTCCCACATGAAGGTCTGCAGTATGCAGAAAGCCTGACACAACCATCCCATAGTTTGTACACGTGCACAAATTCACAGAAAGAAGGCAAGCTATGACCCCAAATGAAACGCCCTGATAAGCAAGGATCAATCACTTAGACTGGTGACAGAACCCACATCAAATCATGTACTGTATGATTTCCCGAGGACAATAAAAGAACATTTTCTTTAGAAAAGTTCCTCAGGGTTCTTTCTGCCTATTCTATTCTCCCATAAACCCAACACCTCCCCAGCTCCCGACAACCGATCATGGACGATTCCTGAGATCAAATGACAGAGCACAATCCCAAATCCCAACCTGCCCCACAGCTAAAGGGAAGAGCTGGCGGGGGAGGGTGTGGGGCACTCGGCGTTCATTACCTCCATGGGCCCCGGCTCGGCTGTGTCCCCCAGTGAGTGGCTGTCACTGTGGAGACCCGGGGGCCCGCAGGCAGCCTGCCTCCTCTCCTCCTTTAAGGCATGCTCCAGCAGCTTCTTGTTGAGGATCCGGGCCACGTTCTCAGTGAGCGTGTAGCCAGGGGGAGCAGATAAGTCCTGCCTCACTGGCGTGCCCTCTCCCCCTTCCTCCCTGCACATCTCTGAGCCCACCCCAATGGGGCTAGGTGACCTTCCTCGGGAATTGGTGCCTGTTTCCTGGCCTGGGGCCAGCTCCGGTGGGGGTTCTGCTGAGCGAGACCGACTGCCGGCCCGCAGCCCCTTCTGGAAGGGGTCCTGCACCACGGGGCTGTGGTCGATGATGTTGAAGAGGCTGGAGAGGCCATCATTGATGGTGGTGTGCACGGGGCTCTCCCTTGTGGTGGTGGAGCGGGCCCAGGCTGACTCACTGTACCCTTTCTGGGCCATCCCTGGCGACGTCCTGTTATTTGGCTGGTCAGCTTTGGGGAGGGGCTTCCTCTGCAACTTGGGAGAACCATACTTGGGGGAGCAGCATGTGCGTTCAAACTTGGCCTGCACCTTCTCGATGGCAGGGGCCACCTGTCTGCTCCTAAGGCTTCGGGAAGGAGACGACACGGGTGTAGCACCGCCCCCAGCCTTCGGCGTGAGACACTTGTGGGGGCTGCTGGTGACACCGCTGCCACGCAGGGCTTCAGTCTGCAAGCCCACACTGATGGTCTGAACAGTCTGGGTCCCCATCGTCCGGGACCCATTGGTCTGGCAGGCCATGTCCTTGACTTGTGGCTCACCAGGCCCAGAGCAGATGGCATTCCTGACAGAGAAGGCCACCTCCTTCATGTCATCACTCAAGTTCTTGGACATCTCCAGGCTGTGCAGTGGGGAGGCAAACCCCAGGGAGGTACAGAGAGGGCTATCGAGGGGGCGCCGTGCCCCCTCCACGTAGTCCCGGGAGTGCCTGGGGGAGGTGCAAGGCCACCTGCTGAGCATGGGTTCTGGAGGGCCCCCCTTGGTGTCTCCCAGGCTCCCTCTGGCTCTGCTTGTGGGAAAGGGACTCTCGCCACCCGCCACCGTGATGCTGTCGACCCTGCGCACGGCAGGCGGGCTGTGTAACACGCGCACCCCCGACTGCTCGGTGAGGACGTGGCTCCGCAGCGGCTGCTTCTGGCAGTGCTCTGGGCTGGTCATGGTGTCCGTGGTCATGGTGACACTTGTGGTCAGGTACCAGGAGGAGTCGGGGAATGGCTCCGTGCTGTCCTCGTGCCCTGCCCGCCCCACCTCGGTCCTGTCGGCCCAGAGGTCTGGCCCCCCACCATTGTGGCCCCTGGTGGGTGTGTAGTCCCAGCTCTTGTTGAACTCCTCAATGTACTTGAGGTCGTCTGGAGACAGGGGTGGGGTGATGTCCTCCTTGCTGCTGGTGGACGGCAGGCCCTTCTCAGGCAGGAACGGGGAGATGTCCATGAGGCGCTGGAACTCAGACATGGAGGACACGGACACTGCCCTGGGAAAAGCGGAAAAGAGGGTGTCAGCCCCCGCCACACCACAGCACCCATGTCCTGCCCTGCGTGGGAAGTGTCAGGGAAGGCGCCTGCTTCCACCCACACCAGGAGAACGCTTTCAGCTGCTCATGTGCTGCACTCACGGGCTTATCCTGCGGGCAGCTCTTGGACTCTGTGTGGCTCTGGAATTGTTCCTGAAGCCCTGCATTGGTCGGAATTTAATACAACCAACTCTGGCTCACACCTGTAATCCCAACGCTTTGGGAGGCCAAGACAGGACAATCACTTGAGGCCTCAGTGCCTCAGTGAGAATTCTCAGGAGACTTGCTCGGACCACAATTGAAGGGTGAAGACGGTGAGTCACGGCGATGGCCAGGTTTTGGCAAGCTGCCACCTGACAGACACAGATTTGGTGTGGATTCTTCCATGTGTCAGCACTTTCAATTTGCCATGAGTTCGCTCAGTGCCTCTCACCCACCCGGCAGGTGCTGCAGGGGTGCCTGCAATGCTTCCAGGCTAAGACAGAAAGTGGCCGGAGTGCTTGGGCACAACTACCACCAGGGCAAAGAAGTGGTGGTCAGGAACGGGGCTCGGGCTGGCTGTGCCCAGTGTCTCAGGCAACAGAACCTCTTTGGCCTGGAATCCCTCCAGCTGGGGTGGGATGGGGAGGTGAGGTGTCTGGACTCACTGTCCAGATTCTGATAGGACATACTGATATTCCTTTCACCCCACAAAGCACAGGCTTAAACCTAGGGATCTAGACTAGTGCAGGCCCCGTGGAAGGGGTCCCAGATTGAGTGTATGGACCACTCCTCCACAGGACCTATTAATATGATGAGGCCAGAACTGGGGTCTGCTCTGAGCAAGTCCCCATACCGTGTGCACTGGTACACAGAACCAGCAAAGCTCTGGGCACCTCTGCTGACAGCTGGCTTCACCGTGGGGGCAAGGCACCCACCCATGTGGTCAGCCCCATGGGGTAAAACAGCAGGCTAAAAGTGACGTCGTTAGGCATTCCATCTTGTTATCTTTTTGTTGTTGTTAGAAATAATCTACCAACTGTCCAGTGGTGCTGGCTAGATCCAGGGCCGGAAAGGAAGGGCAATGGTAGGGATGGGTTGATTTGTCCCAAGGTCATGAGCTTTCCAGCAAGTATGAATCTCCTTCTTCTCAATTCAAGGAGTTGCTGAATTAATAACGAGTTTCAGAACACTGTTCGCTGGGGACTGTAAGTGCCAAACACATGCCGACACCCTGGTCCTTTCCACGTTTCTGTGGACATAGCTCATCTAACTCCCACTTCTGCCCACAGAGGAACTGTCTCAGAGTTACATCAGTGGCACCTACCTGGGTGGGAACTCAGTGCCTCTGGGGCATGGATGGATATGGTGGAACAGAGATGATAAAAAGACAGAGAGAGCAGAGGCATTAACCTCAGCAGTGGCCAAAGCAAACAAAGCCCATTAACCTCAGCAGTAGCCAAAGCAAACAAAACTGTGATGAGAAAATGCAGGACACGTCTGGAGCACGTGTAGGCGCTTCCGGGTGCATCGAAGAGAGTGGTGCAAACATACCAGGCAGCTGGAAGCCAGAGGAAAAGGGGCCAGTGGGGAGGGCACATCCAGTTTTCACTTTGGACATTTCGAGATATATATATATATATATATTTTTTTTTTGAGACAGAGTCTCACTCTGTCGCCCAGGCTGGAGTGCAGTGGCGCAATCTCAGTTCACTGCAACCTCTGCCTCCCAGGTTCAAGCAATTTTCCTGCCTCAGCCAATATTTCCATTTTATAACAAGCATGTGTTACTTTTGAAAGCATAAAGGCTGATGGCTTGAGTGGTGGAGTACAGTTGCTCCAAAGCCTAACCGGAAACACTGATGTGGCTGCTTCTGTGAATGGGGAAGGTGGGAGGGTGTAATGACTAAACTCTGTTTACTGCTTGTTTTGTGCCATGTGCTGCTTTCATTATGTGTATTAACATACATAAGCTGCAAAAAAAAAAAAAAAAAAAAGATAATCAAAATACCTCCTGTATACAGATGAGGAAACGGAGGCACAAAGCAGTTGAGTAACCTACGCAAGGAGGCAGAAGTGATTTAAACCCAGGCAGTTTGGGCTGGGCGCAGTGGCTCACGCCTGTAATCCCAGCACTCTGGAAGGCTGAGGCGGGTGGATCACTTGAGGTCAGGAATTCGAGACCAGCCAGGTCAACATGGCGAAACTCTGTCTCTATTAAAATATAAACATTAGCCCGTTGTGGTGGGGTTTGCCTGTAATCCCAGCTACTTGGGAGGCTGATACAGAATTGCTTGAACCCAGGGGGCAGAGGTTGCAGTGAGCCAAGATTGTGCCACTGTACTCCAGCCTGGGAGAAAGAGTGAGACTCCATTTCAAAAATAAATAAATAAATCAACCAACCAATCAACCCAGGCAGTTTGGCTCTAGAGCCTGAGCTCTCAAGTACTGTCCTGTACCACCCAAGAAGGACCAGAGAAGACAGTGTGAAGGACTGAAGTGTGCCACAGGCACGGCTAGGTGCTGCGGAGAGCAAATGGGAAAGGGATGGTCATTCACAGACTCAAAGTTCAGAGGAAAATCAAGGAAGAGGCCATCTGGAAATGTTGAATTGCCTGAGAAGAAATTTCATGTAGTAGAAATGGTATGTATTCATTTGGAGAATGAAGAAAAAGTAAAACTGGAGGAAATTAAACTGGGGAGGAAAAAACTGGTGTATAACTAACATCCACACCAACCACTATATATCTCCTTCTAGGACTACTGCCCGAAAATATTTTAATAAATTCTCTTAGTGGAGCTTTTAAATACAGTGTATAAAACATCTCACAGCATACGAGAGAGAGATTTCCCAGACTTTAAAAGAGAAAAGAGAGGTTTCCATGGACCTTTCAATAATCACTAAACACAAGCATTCCTTTGTATACATAACACAACTACAATTGGAAAGTCTACCATAAAACTCATACACCCATGACACAGCATGTCTAGCTTCTTTGTTGTTAATAATCAAAAATACCACGTTTATGAAATGAATAGTAAAGCAGCCACTTCTGAAGAAGTGGCATAATTTTAAGTCATTTTGGAGAGAGTGGTAAAATAGACTGCATTGACAAAACAGAATTTTAAGACCAAGACATTTTTATTCCAGTAATCTATTTTTTTCATCAATCTTACTTACCTTTGAAGATTCCCCTTGTGATTTTCTTCTTCCTATAAAGAAGAAATGACTTCGTCTGAATCGGTTAATTTTGGTTGCCTAGAACTAGGCCTGATTGTACTTAAGTGATTTGTTTGCTCTGCACCCCCAGGAAAACACCATTTAAAATGTACACTGAGGCCCAACTCTGGTTAGGAGTGCTACTGCCCTGAGGCCTTTGAAGTACAATCATCAAAGCGAGGCCACAGCCTGATGAGGGGTTGGAGCTTCTGCAGTCCAGGGAGGAGCCCACACGAGTGAGAACAACTGGCTGTAAACTTTGTCATGGAGGAAGTGGCTCTTCTGTGCTTCCTCAAAGGACCTCACTGACTACATGAATTTCAAAGCCAGCTTTTGCAACAGCCTAAGTGTGAGAGTGAGACTGAGAGAGAGTGTGTGTGAGTGTGTGTGTGCTGTTAGAGAGGAAGATGGAAGGTGACAGAATAACCTTAGGAGACTGGTGTCCCTTGGTCCCAGTCTTGCTGTAGAAGTTGACGTGACATCCTTAGGCTCGGGCACTTGATTTTAAACATTCCCATTTAGAATCAGAGGCAAAGTACAGTGCCTTCCCCTTTAAGAAGAATGATGCTGTGTTTGTAGAGAACAACAGAAACCCAAGGTTGTCTACTGAGAAAACACTCTTGTGCTGACGTGGTTGTGAAGCAGCAAGCCTCTGACTAACTTTAATGGAAGCATATTTTTCAAGACAGTAAATAGCAAGGGGTATTTATCACTTCCCCTTAGTAAGCATGCCCCTTGTCTCTGCCATGCAGGTTCCAGTGGGCTGGAACCCAGCCACAGGCTCCCGACCCCACCCCATGTTACCTCTGCTACGTAACTGGACTGTACTAGATTGCCAATAGATCAGACAGGGTGGGACTGCAGCAATGTCCTGTCAACCTGATACACATTGCTGAGGATAAGGCATTTGACCTTACTGATGTGAGTGAAGTATAATTTCCGCATATTTCAACAACACTATTTGATATGAACTCGTCTAAGTCTTAAGTGTTTAGGAGACCAAATGATACGTGCAGCAACTGTTGAACTGCTTCACAGGTAATGATTCCTAGAATCAACATTTTTTTTTTTTTTGAGACTGAGTCTCGCTCTGTCACCCAGGCTGGAGTGCAGTGGTGCAATCTCAGCTCACTGAAAGCTCCGCCTCCCAGGTTCACATCATTCTCCTGCCTCAGCCTGCCAAGTAGCTGGGACTACAGGCGCCCGCCACTATGCCCGGCTAATTTTTTAGTATTTTTAGTAGAGACGGTATTTCACTGTGTTAGCCAGGATGGTCTCGATCTCATGATCTCGTGATCCGCCTGCCTCAGCCTCCCAAAGTGCTGGGATTACAGGCGTGAACCACCACGCCCAGCCCTGGAGTCAACTTTTAAAACAAGGTTTTAAAAATCTTAAAGCCAGAAAAACATAACTGACGCCGTGCCATGGAAATGTCTACAGCTCAGCTCACTCATTTGGTGTCTGATTTATGTAAGGTTTCTAAGTGTTGGATGTTTTCCCTTTGCGCAGAATTTTTTTGGTTATATTAGTTTTCTAGAATCAGAAGACTGTACTATTATTTCAAGAAAAGTTGAGGCTGGGTGTGGTGGCTCACACCTGTAATCCCAGCACTTGGGGAAGGCAAGGCAGACAGATCACTTGAGCCCAGGAGTTCGAGACCAGCTTGGGCAACACAGGGAGACCCTGTCTCTACTTAAAAAATAAAATAAAAAAAAATTAGCCAGGCATGGTAGCACGTGCCTGTGGTCCCAGCTACTTAGGAGGCTGATGGGGAAGGATCAAATGGACCTGGGAGGTCAAGGCTGCAGTGAGCCGTTATCGGCCACTACATTCCACCCTGGGCAAGACAGTGAGACCTCCAGCTCCAAAAAATCAAAAAAAAAAAAAAAAGGAAAAAAAGAAAAAAGAAAAAGAAAAAGTTGAGCATATACACGTCCCAGAATTACTTACTTCCTCTTGTGTGTTTTATGGGACACACTCATTTGTGAGACCTGCCTTCTGTATAGGACTCTAGTCCAGTATTTCTAAACCTGAAACAAGGGGCAAAGTTAAACTGACAGCAGGGCATGCTAATTGAGGGTCAAGCAAAACCCTGGTGTTGTGAAGATTTCATTTTTACTCAGTTCGGAGGTTGCAGTATGCAAAAGTGCTGGAGCCCGCCAGGAGAGGAATCTGGCAGATGCCTCTTAGGCTTCATGGCGGCTCCCTTATTCCATAGTAGTCAACTAGGATGGAGAAAACCTGGCTGACCTCAGGGAGGCGATTCCTGAACTCCCTCTCGGGCCTGTGGGCTGGTGGCTCCTCTGGCTCGTCATCCAGGGACAAGGCATCCAGGTAGAGATTCTCACTGGCCGAGCACCTGTCCGACTCCTTCAGCTTGGACAGCGGCTGGTCTTCAAACGGGATGGAGTCGGCGTCTGCACAAGGCCACATGGCCACAGGACGGGGCACGCGGTGGCTTCCCTGGTGGGGAAAGGGGCGAACGTTGCCGTCTTTTTGATCACAGAGGAAACTGCCACCTCTCCGGGGACTGTTCTCTTTCTGCAGCTTGAGAATTTTAAAAATGAAAATAATTAGCCTCACTTTTCTGTCTGATGGTCTCCCTAAGACCATTGTTTCTCCACAATTTGGAATTACTCATAGGTCAGTTTGAAAAACATTGTGAGAAGCAAATGTTCTTAACATTCTGATCTTAATTTCAAAAGGTAACACAACATTACAGATGCTTTACAAAACCCACAATTTTATCTGGCCCAGAAAATCTGCATTAACCACACACAAATACGGTGAACTCTTTCTGACACCAATATATGTGTTACTGTACATAACTCTGAGAGTTGTGCTCGTGGGAAATTCTACATTTATTACTATTTTTAAATCTAATGCTGTTAAAGAATATGTTTAAAATGCTCTTTGGAACTTCCTTCAGAACTGAAGACACACTCAGTGGAATACTGTCAGTGATAGCAAACTTCTAAGTGTGAAGCTGACTTTCCTAACTAGTCCCAGGGCATGTGGAACAGGTCCTATCAATAACTCAAGTGAGCAAACTTGAGTTTGTAACCATTTGGTGTTACAAACTCAAATGGCTGTTAACCATTTGGTGTTAAACATAACTTACACTTTGAGATGATAAAAACTTAGCTATAAAGGCAAGTAAAGATCTGGTATGACTGAGTGAAGAAAATTTTAAAAAGCCACTTTACATTATAGTCATACTTCTTGCCTGACTCGGTTGAACTCAAGAAGCGGCAGTGGGCAAGCACAGGGCCACCTGGAGTTAGAAGACCTGAGTCAGGACCACTGATGTGTGGCTTGCTGGTTCGCAGGCAGGTGCAAGTTCCCGACTCTCCTGAGCTCAGCTTCCTTATCTGTAAGATGGGTTGTGCACGTGGGCTCACAGGAGTCAGGCTGGCTAGTGGGGGCCCAGCCCACGTAAAGGCATTATGCCTTTCTGGGCCGTTTTGGGGCACTAGATGGAGATCTTGTGGAGGTGGCTCAGGAAAGGGGCCCATACGAAATCACAAGGAACTGCTGAGGCAGGCAGGCAAATGGCTTGCAGGGCGCACGGCCTCCCTCCCCAGAGGAGTCCTCACCAGCTTCCACTCCATTCTCCTGATCCCTCCTCATTGCTTCTCTTTCTAAAACAGCCACAGAAAGCACAACTGAGACCTGAAGCTATTTCTGCCTATGAGTCTTTAACGGAGCCTTTATTGGATGACAAGCTCACACTACAGGATTGACTGCTCTTCTGAATAAGTAAAGTATCTGAACGATGAAAGTGACATTTGGATTTGACCTGAAGGAGTGGCCAAACAATGATTTAAAGTCCTCAAGCGCTGAGACGGTGCCAGGAAATTCTAAAACCTCCTTGAATGCAGATCAATTCATTTTTTTTAAGCATCACTTACAAACTGCATCTCTGTGTCCTAATCTGAGCATTCATCCACACGTTGGATGCAAACATGCTTTCTGTATAGTCAGGAGAAAGCCATGGAAGACAGGAAAGACAAAAGGACGTTGGCTCATTGTTAGTAATTTCTAAGGCGGCGGAACAGAGATTTATCTTTATCTTTGAGAAAGATGGAGTCTGATGCAGCCAAAGCTTACATGTTAGCATCTGAGGCAGTTCACAGTCAAATGAAGGACCCAGCAAATCCTAAAAACTCTACGTTTTAGCTCTGCCCCTCTGCTCTCTCCTCCTCCTCCCTGATGATGACACAGTTCTTTGCAGTTTTCTTAAAGATGCTAACTGCTTTCTTTAAAAAAAAAAAAAAAAAAAGGAAGGCTTTTTATATGTTCATTTAATGCATGTCGGCACAATTTAGTTTCAACACATGATCATCTCTAAGCTATTTTGGGCAAGAAATTAAAATGCAAGAATCCCATCTGAAGCTGCAAATGTGCGCCGAGGGTGTGGAGTGAAGGGGGAAAAGAATGACTGAAGAGGAGAGCTATGAACAAGCACCTTCTAACTCAGTGAAGTGGGATTTCAAAAATAAACGCAGGCAGCTAGGAGCAACTTGTACTCAAGCTGCTAAGTGTTAGGTTTCCTAAAAACGAACTGGAGTGCTTGTGGTGGAGAAATCTGCTGCTAAGATGCCTCTGGGGTGTTGTAATAGAACGGTCCTCAGAGCGGGAGGGGTTCCTACAGGAGTCATTTCAGCCAGCATCAGCACCTACTTGCAACCTTGGAGTAAAACAACTTTTAATGCCAGTCGAAAATGTTAAAGATTCGTATTTTAATACAGGAAACAATAAAGGTGACCTCAAGAGTGTCACCTTACCCAGACTGGTAGAAAGAAAAAAGGCCACTTTGTAAACAGGTTTTAAAAGAATGGATTTTTTTAAAGAATGGCAGCTGATTTAAGAAAGTTACTGGAAGGAGAATGCATGGATGACACTTTTTAGCTTGGTAAGTACAGCAAATATAACAGCAAATCCTATGGATGACACTTTTTAGCTCCATCAGTACAGCAAATATAACAGCAAGTTTTACATCATCTGCATGTTAACTGGGAACTCAACAATTCTAAGGAGAAATGTAATGTGACTCCATAAAGTCTCCTACCCCCACCCCGCAATCAAACTGGGATTGAGACAAGAGAGGCTGATAAGATAGATAAAATGTGTTATATGACCTTAGCCACATTCCCACAGTCATACATCACATAACATGCCTCATGTGGTGCAGAAATTATGTAGGAATTTAATGACACCGGACAAGTATGAAGCATGTGTTCTGAAAGTGGAAAATGGATTTAGTGTTACTTCTTTCACCATCTGTATTAGGTTATCACAGTCAAGGTTATATTATATGGCTTACCAAGCAGTCAAATGTTGAGAGGATACATTGTGAAGAATGTTCAGTTACATTTCTCATTTACCTACGGCATATGTAGCTAGAAGTTAAATGAACAAGCAACCCAATGACTAATAAACGAACCAAATCTACACACGCCCAGACACACTGGAACCAATATCCTCTTTTCAGGAAGTTGAGATAATGCCTATAATTGCTCTCCCTCATTATCAGGATGGGGCACTGAGATTTAAGAAATCGTCTTTAAAAATGTTTACTATTTTGGGGAAAAGGCCAGATTTATTTTTGAAAGCCACAATTGCATGTCTGAAGCGTCAGTTCATTTGTAACCAATCGTCTTCTAAAAACAGCAATGACATCATTGCACAAAAACTGTGGGATCCATCAGACAGATTTCAGGAACAGATGCATGCCCGAAACTCATGTGTTTCAGATCCACGATGCTCAAAGATGTCCACCTTGAGGACTGGGTTCCGAGGCGGTGAGTGTGGCCGAACTATTCCAATACTGACAACTCGGAATTGGAGGTCAGCTCCTGACGACTACCTTTCCAAAATATAGTCTCAAAATGAGGCTGTGGCTCATCTTTAAGTCACTGACTTTTCAAAAGTTGAGTATCACCACAAGTGTCTAATTTTTCCTTTAGCAGAAATTCTTCATTCCCAAAAGTAAAAATAAAAACCTAAAAGACTTGCTTAATTTATATCCAAGGTGTGACTTCCCAAACAAATGAAGCCTGTGACTAGTCCAACAAGCCACCATGGCTAACAGGCAAAGGGCACCCTAAAGGGGCCATGGCAGGGATCACGATGGCCTCACCGGGGTCAGGAGGACGTAAAAAGTGAGTGGCCCTAGAGCATGGGCCAAGAATGAAGCTCCCTGGCGACAAGTTGCCTGGAGTTACTGTGACACCAGTCAACTAAAGTTGGATATAATAAATTAGTGCCACTTCTAACCCTAAGATTTCCACCTAACCATAGAGCACAGACACACAGGAGATTTAATACAGGAGACTCTTCACAAGTGCTGCATTTCCAAGCCAGAAAGGAAGTGGCCAGCATTCCTCTTGATAGGATTTGGGGAATATCAAAGATTAGTAAGGTGACTCATTTGTGTAAGTGGTGAAACCTGGGAAGAGTTTCAGCTCTTCTATCTGCAGTGTACTTTCCTTCTTTTGTTTTTTGGAGATGGGATCTCGGTCTGTTACCCAGGCTGGAATGCAGTGGTGATCAAAGCTCACCTGCAGGGATTTTATTCTTCTCAGTGGTTTCTAAGCCAAAGGCTCTTAGTCTTTTTTACCATTTAGTTCATTCTGCCTCCCTCCCTATCCAACATATGCATACGCTCACCTTTGTCATTGTACCTGCATAACACAGGCACCATGTCTATGGATAATAGAGCACATTTTTCAAAAGGCTCTATGGGTATTTAAAATAGAGTAATGAGATTATTTTTCCTGAGCTCAATTTCTTAGTGATTAATACATTTCCTTGAGACCGCATAAATTTGTAAGTGTGTGACTGGCTGAAATAAACAAAATGTATACTATGTAAAAATCCAGCCAGGGAAGAATTCCAGATCTTCATCAATTTAATTTGTGTATCCCTCAGGAACTACTGCAACTATGCAAACTGTTCTAAGTCTGATGCAATGCAGAGAACGGTTATATTGGCAGAAAAACGACTACCCCCGTCCTCCCCAAATTCATCTGAGTTTCTGAATTGTTTGTTTAGCTAAGATGATGAGCTACCAGCTACCTCTCTTGACTATGGTCCATCTAATCACAGCTCAGCAATATCCACAGCGGGCACACTCACCAGCAAATAGCCTGACTTCCAACTGAATTCAGCAATTTCTTTTCTAATGACAACAATTCCATTCAAGTCGGAGCAGTCACTGTGACCACATCTTTAGTGGCAATCTTAAAAGTTATAGTTTGTTTTCAACTGAATAAGACCTGAAATAACCTCCTCTTTCCAGTTTAGTCTTTAAATTCCTTTAAAAAGTTATCCCCCCTCCCACAACCCCCACCCACCCTGCGCTGCCACTACCACACGTACACACAGGAGAGTTACCTATGAACTTTGCAATGAAAAGATCTGTGTCATGGAGAGGCATGAGCCTAGGTCTCCAACACAAGCAATTCTAGTATTTCTCTCTCGTCCTTTGGATGCCCATGCATCCTGATGCTGCAAGGACCACAAAGCAGCCTAATGTTTTTGCTTTCTGGGTCCATTGAGTAGTCTACACTCTGTGCCTATGCTCCAGGGCCCGGGGTGCCTCCTTACCTGCTCTATCCTCCACAGGAGTTCCTTCTTCTGCCGCTCCCACTCCTGCCGATCTCTGTCCAGGCGGTCGAGAAGTTCCACCTTCTCCCGGTTCCAGTTCTTCTCGCTGTGATGGATCTGCCAGCGCAGGTCCATGACCAGGCTGTGACTGTCGGCCAGGAGCTTCTGGTGCACCTCTCTCTCCTTCTTCAAGGCCCCCTTGCTCTCAGCGGAGGAGCCTAGTTCTCCCAACTTGTTCTCAGTCTTCTCCTCCAGCTGTCAAGGAGAAAAGACTTAGGAATTCCCTCTCTGACAAGTCTTGCATTCAAGGATGAAGTCTCAGCACATTTACATGTGATCCCTGGAAACATGTTTAAACCGAGATTGACCAATCCCATAGTATAAACAAATTTTATTTTTAAAGTCCTAATTAAGAGCATTTGACACAGACAGTCACGAAGAATGTTAAGCGGTGAGTAAACTGAGCTTCCCATGGCCAGCTTCCCTGCTCCACTTTCCTAGTCTAAGTCACCACTGTCTCTTGCCTGTACTTCTGTGTAACTCCTTGTGGGCAGGTACCACAAGGTACCTGTCCCTATATCCTTAGCTCCTATATGGAACCTAGGGATGGGACAGTTTTCAATAAATATTTGTCAAATACCCAGGAGGTTAAATATCAAAACCAAACAAGATTCTACATCTTATGTATTCAAACTTGTGAAAACCAAAGAGAAGACCTTAAAGACAGGGAAAAATGACACATGCCATAGAGGCAGAAAGACGAGAATTCCAGGAGACTTCTCATCAGAAACTTTGCAAGTCAGAAGATGATGGAGTGGCATCTAAAGTGCTGCAAGAAAAAAGATCTCAACCTAGACTCAATTCTGTACGCAGAAATGGTATCTTTCAAAACAGAAGGAAAACACTTTTCAACAAATGAAAACTGAAAACAAAAACAAAAACAAAAACAAAAACAAAAAAAACATTGCCAACAGACCTGCACTTCAGGAAATGAAAAAGGAAGTTCTTTAGGCAGAAGGAATATACTAACAGACACTTCGATCTCTACAGAAAATAAACACTGGAAATGACATCTATGTAAATATAAAACTCATTATTTCTGTTTTAATTATTTTTAATATTTGATTATCTAAAATTGTTACAATGTGTTGTGTTTGCAGAATATGTAGAGGTAAACTATGACAGCAATAGCACAGAGGATGGGAAGGAACTGGGAATATACTGTTGCAATTTCCTCAGGCACCATGAAAAGTAGCCTAATAGGATTTCAAGGTAGACTGAGTAATTAAATACGTATATTATAAACCCTAGGGCGAACACTAAAACTGCACGGCAAACACTAAAACCGCACAACAGCTTGCTGTTCAGTGCCTTGTTTTTATCCTCACAAGCAATCTCTTATATTTTATTAAGTGCACAATTTTAACAAATTGTATACTTTTCAAAGAAAGGCCTTTCACACAGATTGCCTCACTTGGTCTCTACTGCAATCCTCTACGTATAGGTATCCTTATTTCCAGTTTATTTGTGAAGAAATGGCAGCTCAGTGCTTCAGGGACTTGCCAAAGGGACATGGTAAGTCAGTAACCAATATTCATATGTAGAGTTCAATTAACTTTCTTATAATGAGTTACTTCAAGACCCACTAAAATAATTCATGGCTGATTATCCATGTCTAAGCAGATTGTTTTAACTTTTCTAAGACTATATATATGTATATAAAAATATAAAGATTAATGACTTAAACCAGCCAGTATTATTCCATTTAGAAAGACGTCTGTATCAGTGCTGTAGTTTGGATGTCTGTCCCCCAAACTTCACGTTGAAATTTGATCCCCAATGTCGGCGATGGGGCCTAGTGGGAGGTGTCTAGGTCATGGGAGTGGATAGATTCATGCCCTGCGGCAGGGACTGAGTAACTTCTCCCTCTATTATTTCTTTATGAGCTGGTTGTTTAAAAGAGCCTGGCACCTCCTCCCACCTGCACTTCCTTTCTTGCCCTATGATCTGCACACATCGGCTCCCCTTTGCCTTTTGCTGAGTGGAAGCAGCTGGACCTCTCCAGTAGCAGATGCTGGCACCATGCTTCTTGTGCAGCTTGCAGAACTGTAAGCTAAATAAACCTCGTTGTTAAATAAATTACCCAGCCTCAGGTATTCCTTTACAGCGACAGTAAATGGACTAAGACAGGCTGCTGAGTGTGTGCTCAGTTAAACTGAAAGTTCTTGCCCACCAGGGACTCACTGGGAGAGAGCTAACATCGAATCTCGCCTCTGTAATAAAGGCAAACCCTTCATTAAGTGGGGAGAGCACACTGTTTTGTCCCTGAATCTGAGTGGGACTCCGGCCTTCTTGGAGAGAAAGCAGGGAAAGGCCTGAGGAAGCAGATGACAGCCACGGGCACGGGTCAGTGGTGACACTTCTTGATCAATTATAAAACGCAAATCTGGGGAAAATAAAACTTGTTTTAAGTAGAAAGAATGCAGAAACAAAAGAGGGGAGAAACCTCCAGTGTTAGCTAACCAGAAGACTACCAGAAAAGCACCAAGCACCACAAAATCCCATTTTAAAAGAGCTGCTGGAAGCCCACATAACCCAGAATGAAAGGCCGCTGAGCCCCTCGCAGGTACGTCTGTTCACCTGCAGATGCTTCCAGCCACCAACATGTCCTCTCTTTAGAATCTCCTCATGCAGCGTACCCCTTCCTGGGCCCCACATCGCGTCTGCTCACCTGCTTTGTGAAGACAGTGAAGGCACATTCCTTCTGCCCACAAACTCCTCTGTCCACACCTCTCAGGTCTCTCATGGTCAGGGTCACGCCCTCCCCTCAATGCTTAGAGCCCAATCCCCCCGCCTACTGAGGGACCTCGTGTCATCAGTGTCCCTACACTGTCAGGTCTCACTGGACAGGCCTCCCCGTGACCCCGCGGCTCCTGTTACTGCACTGTCTGTGCTCCCTCTTTCCCCTTCCCCGCCCAACTCAACTTCTGTCCCTCTGCACAGTGCACAGTGCTTCAGCCCCACACCCCGACGGCAACTGCTCGTCAAGTTTTCCAGTGACCTCCTCACTGCCAAGTTCAACAAAGCTTTTTATCCCTCATCTGTCCCGTCCTCTTCAAAGCATCTGACATTGCTGAACTCCACTTGGAACGCCATGGTGTCTCTCCTTTTGGCTTCTGGGACGGCATTTGCTCTGGATGTTCGTACATTTCTCTGGCTGCTCCTTTCCAGTCTCTTCTCCCTCTACTCATTTCTTGAAAATGAATATTTTGGTTCCTTCTATGAGTTCCTCTCACTCTGTGCAGTCCTGGAGAGTCCTCCATGGCCCTGCCTCCCACCTCCTCATTCACGCCCAGGTATATACATCTTCAGCCCAGCCCCCAGTGCCTGTGATGACACATACCTCAACTCAAATCCAACCTGTTCCCTTTCCATCCCAACTGGTTCTCTCTGCGTTCCTGTCTTGGTGATGGCGCCATCGCCCAGGCACCCACACTAGAAACCTGAGAGCCGTGCGAGGTGCTTGTTGCTCCACGGTGTCTCGTGAACCGGCCACCAGGCCCGGCCATTCTCTACTTGCTCTATTTTTTTCAGGTGTTTTCCCTCCACTCCTTCTCCACTGCTGCTGCTTTACTTCAGAGTCACCCCTCTCACCTCCAATCTCTGCAACCCAGGGCTCCTCAGTACTTTTACTGTGGACCCAGGTGGCAGCCTGGTGAAACCAAAAGTCTCCTCCCCACTGTGAATTCTGGGATATCCGCAACAATTGTAAAGGGAAATGGAGAGATGTGTGATTACTTCTTATTCTTTCACTCCATATTTCCTTTCCAAAAGATCCGTGATTTCTGTTGGGCTTGTTGCCTACATTTATAACTGGAGGACACGCTCAATTTTGGTGGAAAGTCAGTGATCGTAAAGATGCATCTCTTTCCTATTCTAGTTCGGCAATTCCCTGATTTCAGTCTACAGACCACTAACCCTAGGTTAATCCATTCAATTCTAATGGCTCCTAATCCATTCTCTATCTTGAAGCCAGAATAATCTTTTGAAAAGGGGAATCTAAGCTTTCATGATAAAATCAGAATTAAAGGATCAATTCCTTAAATATTATTCTTTCCCCTCATACCTAAGCTTATCAAATGAGCCATGCTCCTTTCTTCACGGTACTCTTTTTTTTTTTTCTTTGCCTGAAACTTCCTTTCTCTTCTTTTCCACATTCCAGTTCTTGTCCATCCTTTGAGATTTTTCTCAGCAGGACTTTCACAGCCTTCCCCGAATTCTCAAGCCAAGGCATGTACCTTGCATGTTCCTGTTCCCTGACAGCCCTATGTGCAAGCCTGGTGGGCACTTTCCATGCTTTTATAAAGGACAGCACTTGTTTGGGTCCCCCACTGCACTGAGAACCCCTTCAAGGAACATCTGATTTCTTGCTGGACCTTCAACATTTAGAGCAAGGCCTGACTCAGGAGTCTGCTGAAGGAATCGAGGACCTGGGAAGTGTCATCAACATGGGCTCCACTGAAGGAAGGTAACTTGTAGCAGAATTAAACTGTTTTGCATTTAAGTAGAAGAGAGTAACTATGGGATTATTACAAATGGGCTAGCATCATCCTATATTCATTGCTTCCTGGGTTGCAAACGTTTAAGAAACTTCCTAAATGATTTGGGCAGAAGATAAACTCTCTACCTATGACCACCTGCTGGCTTCTGGGTCTGAAGTTCTAGCTTTATTTTTTTGGTATTTAGGGACTCTCCCTAAGGGTTTATTTGTAGCAAACCTGTGGGTGGATACTACGTTCCTATAAAACAAAGATGAAATGTTTTGAAACTGGCTTGCATCGAAGATTACACCTCCCTTCTTTAGCCACAGTTCGGGCTTTGAAAACATTTAGCTCCCTCTATAAACATATTTTTTAAATAGGGTTAAAGGCAGCTCATCAGAGACTGTCCTTAGTCATTTCTCCTTCGCTGCTGACGCTGCAGGCGGGGACTTAGATAAACGGAGCATCTAGGTCAAATCTCCCGCGGGCAGCAGGCAGGAGCCACAACCAGGCCAGCTGCTCTCTCACTTGATGCTCAGGCCTGCAAGGCTGTGTCCCTGCCCCACCCACGGCTGTCAGCCCAACATCGCTGCTTGCTGCGGCCAGGTGGAAATGCAGGGGAACTTGTGGGCACCAGGAGAGCTAGAGTTTATTTTTTTGTTTTTTATTCCTTTTTTTTTTTTTTTTTGACACATCAAGCCTTTTTCATCTTTTATCAAGACCATGTGACAGGGGGTCTCCTTTCCAGGCAATTCTATTCCTTTCATGACCAGGCCAATTCCTATAAAATTTTACTTACTTTATGGTTTGCCTCAAAATAGAATCTAGGAAATAGATTACCAAGGATATACAGATCTGCCCTCCCTCCTCATGATCAAGCGGCTGGAAGAAACCTTGAGAGCTGCTCTCAGCAGCAGATGCCATGTAGGAAGTCACATGACATTCAATGGTTTCCAAGGAAGAAACACTTAGGAAAGGATGTTTCTTGCTATGTCGGATCTTAACTCCTATGCTGGGGCTTCCCTCTGGTGTGCGGTGGAGGCAAGAAACCTGGGCGATCTTCCTGCCCTAGCACTAAATGGCTCTGTTATCTGAGCTGAGCTGTTTCTTCTGGGCCTCAGTTTCCTTTGGTATAAATAAGGAGACTGAAATTGATTAGAATTCTTGGGCATGCAGTGGGAGGTCTCGAAGTTCTTTCTGATATTTTGAAAAATCTCAACGAAAGCATGCATTTACCTTTTTCAAAGACAACTAAACCACAATCTGCTTTTGCTTTGCTCCTGTCTAGAGCGATGTCAGCTCAGTGTGATGACAGCTCCAGCGTGGCCATCCTCTGATGGAGCTAAATACACGCTTGTTTAATGCAGAATGGGAGAATACATGCTGCTCTGAAAACGCTGCTTGGTGGAGGCCGTACTGCATACGTGGGAGAGGGGACATCAGGGAAAATGAGGCCTCTGCACTTTAAGAAGGGACACAGTCACTCCTCTCTTTTTTCCTGGACAAGAAGCCCACGGTTCTGAATCTCTCTGTGCCCACTCTCCTCCACGTATCCTGGACAGCAGAGACACGCAGTCAGGAGCCAGAGAGACCTGGGAGGGTGGTACCTGTTCCAGACGGCACTTGAGCACGGCCCACTCCACGTCCCAGGCTGCCTTGTCGCTGGCGTACTGCTGCTGCAGCCGCAGTCGGGCACGCTCGTCCTCGCGCAGCTCCGCACGGAAGTCCTCCAGCAAGGTCTTGAAGGCGCTGAACAGCTGCTGGTTTTCCACCACCTGTGGGAACACTGAGTCAGGCTCCACCTCCTCCTGCAAGCGTACTTTTTAGGTCAGAAGAGGAGAGGATCTGGCCATCACGGTAGGGTGGGGGTTGTCTCCCAGGTGCTGTTGGCAGTGGGTGCAGGGCGGGTGGGGAGTCTGCAGTTTGCCAGGGAGCAAGGGGTCCCTGTTGCTGGCCATCGGTCTCCTGGGCCTGAGACTGAGGACCTGTTTGATCAGCAGGAAGGTAGAAGGAAGGCTGCCCTGGTGACCTGGCAGCTGTGTTCAGAGGCTGGAACCTGGGCTGGCGCTGTGGGAACCTGCCACAGAGGTGCTCTGGGCCCTGAGGAGCAGGAGCAAGGAAACTCTAGGAGGCCACAGGGAACCGCGAAGCCAGGGCTGCCAGTCACTATGTGACTTCAGATGTCCAGAACACTGAGTTGGGCTGACAAGACTACCATGGGGGTGCAGATATGACAAGACCGATACACCCACTCATATATATGCTGCCATTCTAGTGCCAGATGTTGTACTAGAGGAAAATTAACAAAGGCCAAGGACTCCTGTGCACAAGTCAGATCGGTCTCTGACTTGTGGTTACTAAAAGGACACAGATATGACACGCATGGCCACTGTTGGTGGGTGGGTTTAATTATTAAACATTTTGATGCTTAATAATTAAAGCCAAAGGTGAAATGCGCAACCTGTTCATGAAGGCTTTATTGTGGTTCCTTGAGATGGAACTACTAGCCCTCACTTTTCTGCCTCTCAGAAAGGGACAAGCCAGACCCACCCTCACATTTCCAGTATTTGGCACAATCCGTGGCTCATGTTAAGCATGCAAATGTGTCTGGTAAATGAAGAGTGCATTTTTATTACTAATGTGCTTATATCTAACTTAAAATGGTTTATATGTTCTAAAGCCTGCCCAGCCTTTTGAAGTCAAATTTCAAAGCCATGATTTCTATCTTAGTACATTTCAGCAAGGGCATTATATCAGAAAGGTTTGGCCCAATGAATGAAACACGCTGAATCAATTATGGTACCTTGACAATAAAAGCCTCGTGAGCCCATCTCTTCCAATCAGCACTGAAAGCACATCACAAGCTCTCTGGGCGGTCTCAGGGCATTTTTTTGGGTGCATTTATGAAGCAGGAGTTATAAAAGCTCTCTAAGTCCCACTGGATAGAGACAAGCTCTAGTATGGAAACACAGAGCCCCACCCTCTCAGAACTCCTCATCCCCCAAACTTGATAAACCTCTCCTCCCTGGTTCGGCACGCACACTGGGGACCCCTCCTTCAGGTTCTGCACACACACCGGCCTTCACTCCGCAGTCATGCTTCTAAATCCATCTAGCTGATCCACTAAACATACACAAAAATGGTTAAACATATATGGGAGGAATTTAAGATACTTTGGATGGATGTTTGTATTTATATAAAATTGTACAGCCACAAAAAAGAATGAAATCATGGCTTTTGTAGCAACACGGATGCAGCTGGAGGCCATTATCCTAAGCAAGTTAACGCAGGAACAGAAAACCAAATACCGCATGTTCTCACTTATATGTGGGAGACAAACACGGGGTATACTCGGACAGAGAGGGGAACAACAGACACTGGGGATTCCAAAAGGGGATGCAAGGAGAGGGGCGAGGGTTGAAAAACTACCTATCGGGTACTACGTTCACTACTTAGGTGACGGGGTCATTAGAAGCCCACACCTCAGCATCATGCAATATACTCATATAATAAACCTGCACATGTACCCCCGAACCTAAAATTATATATATATTAAAATATAGATTATATACGTTTATAATTATATATTTTATATAATTTATATATTCAAAAATAAAGTTGTATTAAAAAGAGAAATTCTTTAATACGAGCAGATTTATTATAGGGATCTCCATAGTTGTCGCCAGTATTTAATCGAGTAGACTTTTTTTTTTTTTTTTTTTGAGACAAAGTCTTGCTCTGTCTCCCAGGCTAGAATGCAGTGGATCACGGCTCACTGCAGCCTCAACCTCCTGGGCTCAAGCAGTCCTCCCACCTCAGCCTCCCAAGTAGCTGGGACTATAGGCGTGTGCCGCCACACCCAGCTAATTTTTGTATTTTTTGTAGAAACAAGGTTTCATCATGTTGCCCAGGCTAGTCTCAAACTCTGGTCTCAAGTGATCCACCTGCCTCAGCCTCAGAAAATGTTGGAATTGTAGGCATTGTGCCACATTGTAGCCACTGTGCCCAGCTACAATGGACTTTTGATGGAGTAGAAAGGCCTGTTTGTTCATATTTATTGCTCTTTTTCTCACAGGGAACAATTTTTACTTTAATAACTCCGGGACAAAACGCATTAAGAGTACAGTTCAGTTAACATTTGAAGAACTCAGAAGCTAGGGAACCATCTATGAGTCTTATACATTCTTACCAACCCACTGAATAGAAATAAATTAGCACTATACTCAAAGACATGCTCCCCAAATATGTGAAGCTGTGACAAACACAGAACAGTTTTTAAAACTCCACGTCAAAAAGTACCTAAAAATTAGCCAGGTGTCATGGCTCTTGCCTGTAGTCCCAACTACTCAGGAGGCTGAGATGGGAGGATGGCTTGAGCCCAGGAGTTCAAGGTTACAGTGAGATACGATCACACCACTGCCCTCCAGTGTGGGTGACAGAGCAAAACCCTGTTTCAAAAAAAAAATCTAAAACTTATCTAAGTACAGTTGAGTGATAAGACGTGTCACAACAATCTTTTCAGAAATATACATCTTCATATAGAATTTGTTTGCTGAATAATCACATATATTTTGTGGTAGATTTGTTTGGGAGTTTCATCTTTGGATTTTAAATTAAAAATCACTGCTTTTTGAGTCAAGAGTATTTCAAGCAGAAAATAATGGTAATAATTTTGATCCAGTTTTTGGAGAAGTCATTTAATTTTCACTGAAAAGAAAGCAGAAAACCATATAATACATTGTTATATGTAATCAATAGTTTCCTATGAATGCCAAGTTACATATGGTATCAGACTATGCTGTTCTTGGCCCATACACCACATGACATTAGAATCAGAACTGTACAGTCCTCTTGCAGATTGGAAACCTGGCTTCTCTGGTAGCAAGTACTTTTTGGCTTTAACAGATACTGAATTCAATAAAATTTAAGCCTTAATGATTTAAGCACATTTGCATCAGAGTAATCAAAACAGTGCTCTATTAAACCAGGATAATATTAATCAATGTGGAATGAGCTCCAGAATTGCTTTGGGGTGAAGGTGGCCAAAGGGAGCAAAAGAGCCCAGCTCAATGCTGTTGGTACCTGTTATCATCATTCCCCAAGAGCAGCATGTGGCACAGCAGGAAGCCAGGCCAGCTCCTACCATTAGCACGCAACAGCATAAGTAGACGTCCATGTCAACATTTCTGAAGACCCAGAATGAGCCGTAGATGGGCATGATTTTTCTAATGACTTTCACACACATGAAAAAAAAAAGTAACGATAATTACTAATATTATAGGTGTTTCCTATGGCCAGGGGGTGTACTAAATTACCGCCAACATGACCTTATTTATATGTCACATCAATTTTGAGTGTATATGCTATGTTCCCCATTTTACAGAGGAGGAACTACGGCTTGGAGTGGCTGAGGGCCAAGGTTCTACTGTCAAGGAAGTGAGATCCTGGACTGCAGTTCAGGTCGTCCCCTTCCAAGGCCAACAAACGGAGCCAGGAATATTCGAATTCTGACATTATACCCTGCCAAGCCGCCTTCTTCTTCTTCTTCTTTTTTTTTTTTTAACTTCACCTTGCAGAAGCCATCTAATCCCCATGAAGCTAATTCCATTTCCCATATCAAGGGAAATTAATGATAGTGAGTCATTCTGAGAGAATACCTAAAAGTTAACTTCTCTTATTTTTTTTCCCCTGGTGGCACCCCTTGCTGGGCTACCTTTTGGGTAAAAAGATGACCCAAATCAAGTCAAGAATCAAATGAAGACTCAGGTCCATTAAGGCGTCTTTATGATGTAAGTCTTCTTGGATGCGGGACTTTCTGAACCTTTTGTGCCGGGGTCTAGGATGCAACCTTTTAGCTTGTACATGTGTTGAGTGTAGGTCAGTTTCAACTCAAAAATCGGGCTTTTCATTCAGCTATCAGCTGGCTGATTTTCTAGCAAAGCAGCAGGATAAAAAGCTTCCAACTATTTCCCTCTCCTCCGCCTACGGGCATTCCAGCCTCACCTAGCTCAGCTCTCTTGAGTGAGACTTACAATGTGCTGTAATACGTCAAACTTTTTAACGGGTTCAGAATTGGTCTTTGGTCCATCAGACTGCTATCCAAGTCTATCTATCCAAGTCTAATATCCAAGTCTATTAATAAGTATTACTAATAGAAAGGGAAATGGAAGTTTGTAGATAAGGTAATGTATCAAGGTATTTGTGATGCAGTGCTGGCTATTTTTCAAAATTGTTCTTGCCTAAGATTTCTAGGATTTCATCAGGTGAAATCACAGCTCTACAAAAGGGCTAAACCACCACCAACTACTTTGCTTGCATCAGAGCCACTAACTTTATAACAGATTATAAGCTTAATCTGAAGCTGGAACACACATTGACCTGCTGCTATGGGTTAACCCACAAAACAACAGTCACAAAATAGAGATGACAGCATCCACGTTTACTTAGGCTCCTTGACAGAGGCAGGGGAATTCCGGAATGATGCAGTAGCTGCCCAGACCCCCACAAGGCACGCAGAGCTCCTTTCAGAGACCCTGCTTAGCATTCAACACAGGCAACCCCTCCACCAGCAGGAGTCCCTGGAGAAATTCTTTACTGGGGGATTAGCTGGAATTGATAGGTTCACACAGCCGGCGACATTTTTATCAATGAGCCATTTGTCGTTCTCCTCAATGTGACCTTCACTGTTACACCCAGAAAAGTCCCTTTCTAAAAACCATTATCCCCACAGAGAACGGGCCACTGAAGACAGACCCTGAAAGTAGAATCGATTAGT